TCTGAGGCACACAATTTGAATTTTCTTTATGCACCATTATACCATGTAGTTTTATTGTTAGTGGGACTTGGAAAGACAAAAGGAACAGAAACGATCAATTTTCAGAAGTCTGAAAATAATTAAAAGCAAATGAAAGTTTGAATGCTCTCAAAATGAGAACTTGAAAGTTGTCCAGAGGTCATCCAAATTCATGCTCTGCCTCTAAAAAGGACTACTTTTTTCCAGTTCTCCCTCTTTAATATTAGGTTCCTTCACTGTGATCATAGCAGGCATGCATGAAAGAAAAGGCTAATAGAGTGGAGACTCAAGGACAGGTTTGTTTTTAAGTCGAGTAGGGAAGGCACTATGGTGCAGCAGGCAGTCCTTGGCCTAGCGTCGGCAATCTTGTCACTATCCTGGCTCTTCCACCCCCCAGGTGTGGCCCCTGAGATAAGCCTCTTGGCTCCCAAAGAAGCAGGACAAGGTAAACCCTAAGAGCCTCCCATGACCATTGCTCTTGTGATAAATCTCTCACTTTAAGCACCCCAATCTCTCTCCTGAAAAAAGCAGAAATTGTTTACTGAAAAACAATTTGAGAATGCAGCAGAAAGAATAGGAGAGAAGCCTGATGGAAAAACGGGAAGGAACACCACCATATCTTCAGACAGACTCTGGGCCATCCTCAGAACCAAGATGCTGCCTATACCTCCAGAACTGGATGAAAAAAAGGTGTATGGAGTTAAGATCCTTCCCCCCTTTTGCTCTGCAAACTACCCCTAGGCCTTGGTCTCTGGCCTCTTCTTATTCCCTACCGAAGACAGTGAATGTGTTCTGAGTTCAGAGAGCTCTGCCCCTTGGTGAGGCACCTCTGTCAGCCACTTTCTCCTCCTCCAATCTGTCCCCATGCCCCTTTGACCTGTTCGAACAGCAGCAGCAGCAGCAGTAGAGAAGACAGGGTGTGCATGTGAACAGGGTAAAAGGCCCCTGCTTTCCAGCCGAGGTCAACATCTGGAGAGACTTAGATTTCAGAGAGGGATTCAGACTGAGTCATCGACATGTGTAAGGACTGTCAGCAACTTTTCCATGTTCCCTCTTCATAAGCCCCAAGTCTCAGCCTGCTGGGAAGATCCAGCCCTATGAAGGCATCCGCTGTACTCCCCGGGAAAATTAATGGAGTGAGTTTGAATTGGAGAGGTGACATGGAATCTAACTAGAGATCTGACTTCCAAAACAGTGACACCCTAAGCCTACCTTTCCTAGCCTAGGAAAGGGACCAGTGAGAGCACTGGCCCCCAAGCCCTTTCCTGCACTGCAACCCAGGCTACCCGTCTAGGAGATACAGACACCATCCTGTCCATTTACCTGTCTCCAGGCAAGACATCCCTGGGCCCCAAGAAAGAAAAGGCTGATAGTGTCTCTTCTCAAAAGGCCAGGAATTTAGTTATCTCTCTTTCTGTGCCAACAATGATCAGAACATAGTCATTTCCTTTCATCAAGGGGAAAAAAAGCTAAGTCCCACCAGGGAAGCTAAGGTATGAAGGAAACAGGTTTATGGGGCTGTCCCTGTTAGTCCTATGCTGAGTTATTTGAAGTCACTCATATGTCCTCTCTGTGCAAAGATAGCAGGAAAAAAAATGATGAGACAGTCAGCAGACTGGATTAACAGATGGTTCTCAAGGAAAGGCCTCATCCTGGACCTGCTAAGGGTTAGAAGTAGCTTACTGGGCTCTATCTAAATTGCTGCTAGCTTGAGCAACACTGGGGCAGAAATGGAAAGAGAAACAGAGACAGGCAGCAGTGGCCAATGCTCAGCCCTGCTCCGTCCTCCCTCTAGGAGGTCCAATACAGGAGCCAACCCAAACAGCCTCCACACACCCCCGCCTTGAGTGGCCTGTGAATCGCCTACCCCGTCCCCCACTGGGTTTTCTGCTGCTCAAGTTTCTCAGCATGGGTGTCTGGAACCAGAACTGCTCCTCAACTCTGGGCAAAGGGGACTTTTTTGTTTGTTTCTTCATCAGTTCCCAAGTCTGGCTGTCTTCTTCCCTGTGATCTCAACTTCTCCTTGGCACAGCAGGTCTTTTGAGGGTGGGAGGGACTGAGGAGAGAAATAGTATCCAATCTTCAGGACCATCCAGAAAAATACCTCTAAAACCAAAGAGACCAGTTCCTCTGTAAACATTATAGCCAATGGTGTCAGGCATGAGAGGTGGGCACAGAGCACCAGAGGACCTGTTGTGAGGACAATGTCTTTTCTCTTCCCTGCCTAGAAATGCCCCCACTTGTGCAAAGTCACTGTGATTGTGTTGAACTATCCTCATAATACACCAAAGCAGCTAGACTGAACAAATATGTACTGACCACCTAGTGTGGGCCATGCTAGTACCTGTGGAAAATGCAGTAGAAATAAAAGGTACAGTCCCTAACGAGAAGGAGGCTATCACCAAAGTCAGATCATTTCAGAGATCACCTAGCCCAACCTGCTTATTTATAGAACAAGGGAGCTAACGTCCAGAGAAGTCCAGTGAGGACCAGAACGAAGACACACCACCTCCTGTTGAAACCAGTCTAACACACATGGCTGGCAATGCAGGCATAAAACACAATTTCACACAATTAGGGTTGGTTGTCTAGACTTTAAAGCCAAGGTCATATGGACAATAAACTTTGAAGAAGTTTCAAAGGACAGTGAAAATTTGGTAAGTTGGGAAGTCTTCCTTAGAGATGTGGGACAAAGTGGGAAGGAACAGGATTTAGAAAAATAAAAGGACTTTTTATTCACTGACCAAATGTATTTCACAAATATTTACTGAGCTTCTATTCTGTGGCAGGACTGATTAACTCCCAGGGAATATTCAGTGGTGAGCCCAATTTCTCAATTCCTGCTTTCACGCAGGTCCCTGCTCTCATGGGAGCAGGTTTGTAGAGGAAACAACCAGCCTTGAGTGGACACAGAAGGTCTGGAGTACCAAAAAGCAAGCCAGTAGTCTGTTTTATAGAACTGCTTCTTTGTGTGAATAAAAGTCACCAACAAATCACCAACAGAAGGTCTCCAGAGAGACCTGCCTGGAAGAGGAAAATGGAAAGTGTCACATATGGTGGCTATTCAAGGAATCTGGGTTTCAAAACACAATTTGCCATCTATAGATATCAGAAAACCAGGGAGTGGGGCTTGAACTACATTCGCTCTTCTATTCAACCAACTTTTGCTAAGGATCTCCTGCACACAAGATGCTCAGTTCTTGAATGAGGATAATGGCAGTGGAGAGAGAAGGAGGGACAAATGGAAGAAATAGCAAACAAGTTCTATAGAAATCTGAATGAGGCGGGCACAGTGGCTCACGCTTGTAATCCCAGCACTTTGGGAGGCCAAGGTGGGCGGATCACCTGAGATCAGAAGTTCAAAACTAGTCTGGCCAACATGGCGAAACCCTGTCTCTACTAAAAATACAAAAATTAGCTGGGTGTGGTGGCACGCCCCTGTAATCCCAGCTATTCAGGAGGCTGAGGCAGGAGAAATGCTGGAACACAGGAGGCGGATGTTGCAGTGAGCCCAGACTGTGCCACTGCACTCCAGCCTGGGCAAAAGAGCAAGATTCAGTCTCATAAAAAAAAAAAAAAGAAATCTTTTCAAAAGCATTTACTATGAGGTATAATGGAGGAAAAAGGAAAGGCTGGATGACTTATACACCAATAATCCTTCAATATATCTATTTGTAAGTGTCAAAGGCACTTCAAAGCCAGTATGTCATACCAAGTACATGATCATCACTCTCCGCATGTCTGGCCTTTATCCCCATGAATGGCACCAGCATCCAGATAACTGCATTATGCAGAAACAAAAGCCACACCCTTGACACCATCTGTTTCACCTCCCAAATCCAATCCGTTACCAAGTCTTGGTCTCTTGTCTCCTTTATATCTCAATTACCCTTCCTGGCCAGACCTAAGCCATCATCAAATCTTTCTCTCTACTGAACCATTGATGTTGACAGTAGCATCTCCCTTTACACAGTTCCTCCAGTCAATACATCACCCAGCTGGCACCCTCTAATCTCACAAGCCATCCTCTTAACATTTTCAAGTCTTCCCAATGTACTTGATCATGGTTTGATCTCTCTCTCTCCAACCTCATCCTGTACCATGCAGGGAGTTTCCCTCTGTCCTTCTCCAGCCAAAATGACTCCCTAAGTACTTATTCACTGACTTATGTAGACGCCTATGAATGGCTTTCTCCCTAGTGGGCTGAGAGTTCCACGAGCACAGTTTCTACATGTTTTTATCCTCCACTGATTTTCTACCACCTAAATGTATGGCATATGCTATGTGATCAATATCTGTGACCAAATTTTAAAAAACGATTAGGTTAATTGTTCTGAACCAGAGTCATTTTGTCCCTCACTTCCCCAGCCTCCCGAAGAAACAGGTGGCAATGTTTGGGAATATTTTGGGTTGTCATTAGTGTCCAGTGGGTAGAGGCCAGGGACGTTGCCAAATATCCTAGGATGCACAAGACAGCCCACCAAAAGTTACCCTGCCCATTGTGTCAATAGTGCCTAGACTGAGAAATCCTGATCTAGATGAAAAAGAAGGAATATTTCTATTTTGATCTTATTGAATTGGGTTATCTAGAGTCAAGTCCTTATAGAAATATATTTATTATCTCCGGATGCTGTGAGAGACTTAAACAGTGATGCATACACACCCACTCAATGACTGTTACATTTCCTACAGGCAGGAGAAGCATATTCGAATGGTCTCTCGTACTCCTCCGATGCCTGGCACAGGGCTGGGATTCGGTTGCTCAATAACACCTCTGGGAAAGCCTCACTTAACATCAAAAGGACCTCAAAACTAAGGGAAACCCTTAAGCTGCATGAAAAGGACCACCTTATTTCACATATATGACCAAAGTGCAGCAAAGGTGAGTGACAGCACAATACAGCCCCGCCTACCTGCTGAGCCACGCCCCTTCCCTGTCACAATGGCCAAGCCCTTAAATATCCAGACTCCTGGCCCCCGGGCCTTGCAAAGCCCCTCATTTTGGCAGAACTTACCATGTCGACCAGCCGCAAATTAAAGAGTCATGGCATGAGGAGGAGCAAGAGCCGATCTCCTCACAAGGGAGTCAAGAGAGGTGGCAGCAAAAGGAAATACCGTAAGGGCAACCTGAAAAGTAGGAAACGGGGTGATGATGGTGAGTGAGGAATGGGGAGGAAACTGCCAAACTTAGGCACATAAGTTTGCCTCTTGGAGGCAGCCCTCACAGGACCCTGAAATCTTGGCCTGAGATTATTTCCAATAACTAAATGCAGATTTGAGCAATAAGAGTATTGATGGGAATGTTCTAATTGCGTCTCTGTTGCAAACCTGTCTTTTCCCACAGCCAATCGCAATTACCGCTCCCACTTGTGAGTCCTCAGCGGGCTCTGCCCTGGTGCACTTCACACAGCACCAGGCAGCAACAAGAACAGCAGAAGGGGGACTGCAAAGGAGAACTGATGTTAGATCAAAGCCAGAGAGGAGCCTATGGAATGTGGATCAAATGCCAGTTGCGACGAAATGAGGAATGTATATGTTGGCTGTTTCTCCCCAACATCTCAATAAAACTTTGAAGCAGAAATGTTTCCTTTGATCCTTCGGTTGGAAAGACTTGAGTTCCTGAGCTAGGTGGGTTTGGGGAAGAATTGGCTAGTGTGAAACCATTAAATGTGACTTGGAAAATATCAAAAGTAATTTGTCCTCCAATTCCCTCCCACGGTGGTCCTACTCTGGCCACACACTATCACCATATTTGTCTTCGTCCCAGTGTGCTGTCTCCCTCCCTGACATGGAAAGGGAGAAGAGATAAAAAGGGAGAAATGCATTCATTAGCATAAACCAAAGGATTCAAGCTGTTTTTGTTAGAGCTTAAACCAAAGGATGCAAGCTGTTTTTGTCAGAGCTTATATCACAGAGGTGTTGAAAGCTAAACTAAATCTAAAGACTTGGCCCGGAGATAGAGATCATTTGGAGGAGCTTTTAGAAGCTCTTAATTCATTGATCATATGGGCAGGATTAGCAGGCTAAGAGATGGGAACACCTTCTGGACAGAGATCAACATGCTATTTGTAAAGGATCCTATTAGTAACAGTGGAAGTGATGAGAGTTTAGATTTCTTTGTTATTATGGTAGCTATGTTGGGCTTGAGGTGGGCAAGACTGAAAAGTGGGATATTGCCTCGTAGCATGACTCTGTCATAAGCCTTAGTCCAGTGTGCCTGGAAGTAAGAATTGTCTCAATCTGAGTAGGCCTTATTAATCATTTGAAAGAACTGACTTTAGGGATAGAGCTGGTTCTGCTCATTTAGGAAATTCCTAAGCCCTCACTTTACCTTGTCCCTGAGTTGTAACACAATTTATGTCTCTGGTCAAGGATATGACATTCACCCACTCAGAGGTGGATCGTATTTTTCTTAAGTGTTTCCTGTTGCCTCAGAGGTAGCTCCAGGGTAGAAATGAGACTCATATTTAAACTCAAGAACCAGCCACCCACATGGTTTCTGGGGAAGTAACCAGGAAAGGGTATAAGCAGGAAGGAATGAGGGGGCATGAGGTTAGACACGAAGTTTCCAGCAGTCAGGGGTGTGAGACATGGGAAGAGGACACTATTAAGTCTGAGCCTCATGCAAATGTGTGGGTACCAGGATGTTGGGATGAAAAGACTTAAGGGGTGGCAAGGAGTGTTCCTGTGGGTCAGAAATCTAGAAATGCAATAAAAAACATGTTCATTTTTCAGATAAGTCATTTTACTTGTTGGGGTAAAATATTTCAAGTCCTCACTCTTCCATAACCCTAAGAAAAGAATGCACATGCTGATTCAGTGCTGTTTTCAAGTTCATGTGGAAAACATCTCTGCTGACCATCAGGCACACAGATACTGCAAAGTTTCCCATTGTCAGTTTCCCTTTTTGTCAAATAGGGATAGGGAAAATGCTTCATAGCCCTGATCCTCCATGGGTATGTCTATTTTACCTCCTAAATGTAAACTCAGATTAGTCTCAAATAATCCTGTGTGTGTCCATAGTGTCACTGAACGAAGCTCTAACTTCTTAGAAGTTTGCACATTTCTGATCTGGATTCCCTCCTTCGGAAGCTCTGGAAGAACTCATCAGCCATGGCTCTCACCCAGCTCTCATGCCCCCTGGTACTTTCTCTGCCTCTGTATAAAATATAAATGCTCCTTGCAACATATGAAATCTATAAAATAAATCCAAAAAGTAAAAATGGTTTAATTATTTTAATGTGCTTTTGCTGCTCTTGCTGCTCTTGCTGTAAATTCTTTTAAACTTAGCCTTATAGGTTGGGTTCTCAGGGAGCAGAGATGGAGTTTGAATGCAAGATGTTTATTAGAGGTCAGTACTTGAAGAGGGAGGCTGCATGGTTGTACAGAAGAAGGAGCCGAACAAACCATCAGGCAGTATAGCCAGGCCTTCATACCCTTTATACCCTACCCGGCTGGGCTGCGCCTGCAAGAAATGGCATTTCCCTGCTGAGGCAGACTCAGAAGGGAGCATCAGCTGGAGGTTGCTTGGTGGACCACACACCTGCAATCTGAGCAGCTCACCTCCGTGTCTATTACAATTGCTCTCTGGATCATCTGTATCTTTCAGCTTCTGGTCCCCATCTTCCCCTTCTGCCTCTTCACAGCTTGCTGCCTTGCCACTTCCTGCTATGACTATGTGTCGTGACTCTTCAAATGCTCTTGTGCACAGCTCACTTCTTGTGGATTGCCAATTTGCACAAAGATGACCTCTCCCATAGGACAAAGTCAACAGTCAGGAACAAACTAGAATACCATGATGCTGAGTGTGCAATATTTACTTCCCTCAGGAAACTTGTTATGATTAGGGAGCCACAGATCCCTGCAGATGGTCCAAATGAAGACGTTGTCAAAGGGATTATTTACAGAGAAGAGACACCTAGAGCCTAGCAATGGGGTCTTCAGACCCTTAGGACTGAGAAGGAAAAAGGGCAAAATAGCACGACAGGAGCCCATTGACAGCCAAAACTGTGTGTGGGGAGGAATGGTTGTGAATGGACCTCCTGGTAAAATCTGTACTAGGAGGATCACAGCTGTTGTCAGGCTCAGACACAGGGAAGAAACATTCCGACATTTATCTAATCTCCCGCTGCTGCTCTCATTGGCAAAATTCAGAAGTCAGCAGACAAGAGACCCCAGGTGACACAGAGCATAAGGGCCAGCCCCCTGGGGCATCAAAGAGCTGAGAGTGTTGGATAAAATCTCCAAAAATCCAACAGCGATAGCTGACACAACTTTGTAGACAAAATCTCTTCTTTCCTCGGACTCCTTAGAAGTTTGCCATTTTATCAACCTGCTTATCTCCTCCCTTATGTTGTCATGGACCAAAGTCCCTTCAGAAGCAAATTGTAGACAGACAGAGTGAGAAGAGAGACTCAGAACAGTTACACGGAGCTCCTGAACCCTCACCTTAAAAAACTTGTTTTCATGTTATTTGCATGATGGTATTATCCCCAAGCCAATACAATGCAATGTTCTAATACAGTGTTATATCTTCACAATACTCTAAACACTGAAATAATCTAATTAATCATTAGGACAGGCATGTGGTGAACAGCCCAAGACTAGCCAGAGCAGACAGATCCTCGCCTGATGACTTCAGCCTCTGCCCTCTTAGGTTGTGAAGGAATGGTAGCCGCCCGGAAAACTCTGCTTTGCACTAGGAACATTTTCCAGACCCACATATTGGAAATTTTTCAACACTGGCATTGACTTAGTCTCTGTACCCCAGGAATATTCATTCTGTCCTTCTGTTTACAGTTCCTATAGGCCCAGCACCTACAAGGTTTGTGTACGGGTTTTTGACCATGGGGACGCTCTTTTAGAAAATCTGAAGGCCTCGCCCCCTGTGTGCTTTTTCTCCATTTCCCTAACCAAGGAGGACTTTGTTTCCCTCCCCTGTTTTCTCCAGAATGCTATGTCCTAAAGTCATCACTTGTTTGGACTTTTGGAAAAGTGAAAAATCAAAAAAAAAAAAAAAAAAGAAGAAGAAGAAGAAGGATCTTGGCCACAAGCCCTTTTGGGTCACCTTGACCTTCATGTGAGCTAACTTGGATATGGGGCCTCTGCTCCACTGGCTTCAGAGCCCGATGGGAGTGGCGAAGCCAGAGAACCCATGTGTGGGTGGAGAAAACCCCAAGGAGCTATGGGGAACACAGCCAACTCCCACCTTTCACCCAGCCTCCTTCAGATGACCCTTGGGTGGGACCTGCATCTGTGCAGCTGCAGGCAAACAGGAAGTTCTGGAGAAACGCTCAGGGCTATGTTAAGGAGGTGAAAGCCCAGAAAAGGCAGCAGGGAGACTTTGTGCTCTGGGGGTAGCTGGTGCAAGCCAGACATGGCCTGCGGCTTGGCTTTTGGGGTCACCCAAAGGTTCTGTCCTTTGAAACAAGAGAACGGCAGCAGCCTGAAACCTCTCTCACTTTCTGGCTTTGCAATCTGAGCACTCACTTCCAGGCCTACGCTGGGAGAAAACCCAAACAGGGAAGGGTCTTAATTCCTGACCTCTAGGAGCAATGGGTCTTGGTTCCAGGTTGATCTGCCTCACTAGGCTGTACGTGAGGAAGCTGGCTATTTCAATAAAGCCTGCCTCTCCTCATGGCTGGCCCCACCAAGCCTCTCTCCATTCTCTCCCCATCCCTCCCATGGCACTGGAAACATGAGCTTTCTCCTGCAGCTGAGCCCTCCAGCCATTCCTGAGCTCAGCGTTTCAGAAGTAGTTAGCATCAGGGTACAAGAGGGTTGAGAATCAAAACCCAGGGGCCTGACTCCTTCTGAGGCAACTCCTCTTGCTTTGTGACCTCCATTGACCTATTAGTCCTGCCTCATTTTAAGCTTTGCACACCTCCTCTTCTGCAACTGGGACCATTTCATCTCTTTCAATGGCCTGGCATCATCATCGCCATAAGCAGGCCTGACCTCAGGCAGAAGGCAGTGAGGCAGCACGACACAGGATGAAGCAGAAAGGCACTGGGGTGAGTGGGTCTGCGTCTGAATGCCCACTCTCTAGCTGTGTGATCTTAGGTGAATTTCATAACCTCCATTAACTTCATCTTCCTTATCTGTAGAATGCCAGTCGTAAAATCTACCTCTCAGGTGGCTTGTAAGAATCTAAAATGCTGTAAATTACAGGCCCTGAGTACATTGCACGACCCCTCATTTCTCTTTCTGGACTGGTCTTTTAGGGATCATTGTGCCTGTCTGATCTTGACTCATGACTGCTTCCCAGACCTTAGTCTCAAGATACCACACCAGAGGAGGAGGACCCCACACTTGAGGACAGATGTCCCTGGCGGTGCCTGCCTGCTCAGCAAAGAGCTAGCCCCAGGCTCCCATTGTGACCTAGCACCTCAGCCTCTCCTGATGCTTTTGCCTAGGCCAGATCCTAAGATCAGAGAGTACCTACATCTCCCTGGGGCTTGCTTTCCTCTCCCATAAAAGTTAGGAGTTGGGGATGATCTTATCCCTCTACCTAGACTGTAGATTCCTGAGAGCGGGAGGCAAGGCACTCACAAGTGAGGGCATCAGAGTCACATCAAGACA